CGGGGTATAAATCCAATCCCCTCCTCCTCCTCCTCTTTTTCTTCTTTATCTCCTGCCATTGAAATGATCGAGAGTGGGGGATTGAGAGCAGTGGCGGGAGATTTCTCGCTGCCACCAGGCAAATGGTAAGCCTAGCTTCGTACAAAATGCTTTGTGTACCTGTGGCCAACATGATATTGTGAGAATCTTAATGTTCATTTGAAGGGACAGCTGTCTCCAAATCCCGTTGACAGACGTCCTCGGCTACTTTCCCCCAAACCGGGAACTTCCTTCTTGGAGTCTAACCAGAGTTTTAGCTTGAGTGCTGTTATGTTTTCCATGGGCCGGGTGGCTGGCTTAGTCATGTGGTAGTTTGCCAATGTGGCACATTTTCTGGTTTTATAGCATTTAATACTTCATCCAGACTCTTTTCTCTCCCCCTCTCTTTGGGTTTCCTTAGTAGTCTTCCTGAGCCTCTGGCCCTGGCTAGGAAACAGCACCTAATAAACATGCCTGCATGCTAGAGATCAGCCGTCAGAGGAGCACGGAGGCACGGAGGCAACACAGCATTTAAAATAGCACAAAATTATCTCGCAAAATCACCATGGAGGAAACAGCAGCGCGGCAGAAGGCCGTAATTACTGCAAAGCTCCTCCCGGGAGAGACAGGAAATGTCATTTCCTACTAAGCCTGGGTATTTAAGAGCATCACAGGTGTGTTGGCTGATAACACTCGCAAGGGGAGTTGGGGGAAAGGGCCCACTCAAGAAGCTTGTCAGGAGGAATAACAGCATCTGTCTCTCGCGAGCGGCCTGTCGACTGGCACGTAGAAAGCCGGGTGATTGGCATCCCCTTTCGAGAGCCTCTTTTCTGTTTCTCGGTGTCTTTGTTTAAAGAGCCAGTTTTGGTGTAGTGGTTAAGTGCGCGTACTCTAATCTGGGAGAACCGGGTTTTATTCCCCATTCCTCCATTTGCAGCTGCTGGATGACCTTGGGCAAGCCATAGTTCTGTCAGAGCTGTCCTTGAAAGAGCAGTTGTCAGAGCTTTCTCAACTCCTCCTCCTCCTCCTTCTTGAAACATGCTGTCCTTTTGTCCTCCACAACAGGAGCCAGCAAGAACTGAGACTAGGGGAACCTGCCCCCTGCTTTGGTTAATTCCCATATCTATTGGAAATCTTGGCCCTCCCAACTGTCCCAAATAAGAGCCATTCTATATCTGCACTGTCTCACATTGTGGATGGTTTCGTGGTGCTCGCCACAGAATCCTCTGCTCACCCATGAGCATTGTTCCTTTTCGGGCCCTCTGGGAGGTTGAGACACTGAGTGGCCGTCCCAGGCCTCTGCCCGGCACTGCCCCACTGTCCCGAGCAATGCTCCCTCTAAGCTGGTGGAGTCTTGTGAGCAAAAGTTCTACTTTTTGAGCTACTGGCATTAAAAGTTGTGAGCCAGCGATTTGGCTACTGCATAAATTAGTTTGCTCCGGGGCCATCCTTCCTGAGCGAAGACAAAAATGTGTGAGCCGGAGGCTAAAAAACTGTAAGCTAGCTCACACTCACTCAGCTCAGAGGGAACACTGTTCCCAAGTCCACCTGACTCACAAGGGGGTTTCTTGCTTCCCTCTTCAGATCTACACTGCCACCAGCTGGTTGATTACAGTATTTCCCACTATTTCCAGTATTACATGTCCTGCTATTTCCAGTATTACAGTATTTCCTGGTTGATTACAGTATTTCTATCCTGTCTTGAGCCCATTTGTGGGAAGGGTGGGATAGAAATTGAACCAAACAAATGAATAAATAAGTGGGCCAGTTCTCCTGACACTGCATCCATTTTAATGTTTACAGCCTCCACCTGTTTCCTGCATCTCATTCTCACTCTGGTTAGCTACCACAGGGATGGTTTACCACACTTGCATGCTCTGGGGATCTACTTAAGAACATCAGAAGAGCCCTGATGGATCAGACCAATGATCCATCTAGTTCAGCATGCTGTCTCACACAGTGGCCAACCAGTTCCTCTCCACTTCATCTAGTGGTGTATGAATTGACTACCTCCCTTCCCCAGCACCCTTTTAGTAATGTGTGGGCCTTATCATCTTTATGGGGGGGGGACTTCTAGCACGTAAAATCAGAACAAATTTATTGAAAAGAAAAATTCCCCACACATCATTTGCACAGCAGTGGATTGAGCAAGGGTATAAAGTAGAGGTGCATACGTGCAATCTTCTGCCCCTTTGCATATCCCCACTGTTGTTATTCTAGGGCCAGGCACACCTAAATTCATAAATAGGAAGGGAAATATAATGGCACTATTTTAGAATATGCTAATTATTGCCAGTCTTACGTGAAATTGCAGGATCCAAAGACATTTTAAATAAAAGCAGGCATCCAGGTTTTTTCCGCTGAATTTTTGACAATGCAACAAAACCTGATTGGGTTTTTTGTTTGGACAGCGTGACTTCAGTTGTGGCTTCAATATTTATTGAAGACTATAATCCCCATTATGCACTCAAGGTAGAATCTCATAAGAGAAGGAGAGAGAGCACTGCTGAGATCTTTCCTTCACCGCTGGTTACCTTGAAAACAACACATCCCACATCATGCTTAGCTGTTTCACATCGTATTTGCTTCACACAGCACTCTAGTTCTGACTGTGTTCTTTCCTGTCTCTTCTTTACCTTGAAAAGAAACGGGGGGGAGGGGTTACAGCAGGCAAATGAAATGACTCAGAGCATTCATCAGGTTTCCTGAGATGTCTGATGCTTGTTTAAAATAAATAAGAGACACGACTGAGCTTGAAGTCTTCCAAAGTAGTGATGCAAGTCTTTTCTAGTTGATAATGCCATTTATATATTTATTTATTTATTATTGGACTTCTAGCCTGCCCTATCCCACAAGCAGGCAAAGGGCAAGTTACATCAATATACACAGGGGTCGTTTCGTAGAAAAAGAGGTGCAGGAGCTCATTAGCATAACTCATTAGCATAACGTATTTGCATGTGCCACACCCCCTGACATCACTGAAAGTGTGTCAGAAGGCAACACCCACCGCTCAGGCTCCACTGGACTGTTTTGGATTGCTAGCTATTGGGGGGGGAACGTGCAGATCTGCCCTCACAGAGGAGGGAGAGCTTGTACCTGAATAAAACTTGGTCTTAAAGGTGCCACTGGACTGTTTTGGACCGGGGGGGGGGGGGCTCTGCCGCACACGTACCTGGCTGCTTCTTGCTCTGACTGAGGGCTCCTGGGAGCAGGGGGTGGGGCTTGTTGCATGTGCCTGCCCCCTGGGCTCTTTACTGCCGGAGCTCCGCTCCTGTGCGCTCCTGCAGGAAATGACCCCTGACAGGGTATAAATCCAATCTCCTCCTCCTCCTCTCTCTGTCTCCTCCTTTATACTTCAGGTTTTTATATAACAGAATGGGATACTGGAGCAACTGGTCCGTTCCGATGCTGGTTACGACAGCTGCCGGTTTCCTTTCGAGGACTGCCCTCAGCCCCAAAACATCTCATCGTCCAAAATGTCTTACCGTTAACAGCTTTGCTCAGGTCTTGCAAATCGAAGGCCGTGGTAGACGCAGTTCCCCCCCTTCCTGCTACTCAGTTTCTTGAGAGCAGGGGATTGGGGCTGAGGGCAGTCCTAGAAAGAGCTCTCTCAGCCCCGCCTACCTCGCAGAGTGTCTATTGTGGGGAGGGGAAGGGAAAGGAGATTTGTAAGCCGCTCTGAGACTCCTTCGGATAGTGAAGGGCTGAGTATAAATCCAATCTCCTCCTCCTCCTCCTTCTTCCTTCTCCTCCTTCCAAGCCTTTCCCTTCCTCTCCCCACAACAGTCCACCTTGTGAGGCAGGTGGGGCTGAGAGAGTTCTGAGAGAACGGTGACTGGCCCAAGGTCACCCAGCAGGCTTCACACAGAGGAGGAGTGGGGAATCAAACCCGGCTCTCCAGTTTAGAGCCCGCCGCTCCTAACCACCACACCACCCTGGCTCTCGCACAAGGTTGTGTTGGCGGGGTTGCAAATTCATCCACCTCGGCTACCCTGTGACCTCACCAGGACATGCGGCGACCCGCCCTGCTACGGCGTCGGCATCCCGCCCCCTGCCCCCGTACTTTCCAGGTCCCCTCACCCCCATTCTGGTGGCATCCTATTCCAAGGCTTCGGTCGTCCTCATCGAAGTCCAGAAATGTACTTGTTGCTACGTTTCTGGTCTCCGCTTTTCACATTCTCCCGATATGCCTCCCAGCGGTCTGATCTGATCCTTACACGGCGGCACACTGGTGTTCTTCCTCCTTAGTACACCCCAGCTTTAGTAAGGCTTAATAGGAAGTGTGACTCTATTTAAATGCAAATTTGACATTTCCAGCCCTGAGCAGGTAGGGTGGTGTTTGCAGCACTGATTTATAGGGACGGGGCCTCGATATTTACCTTCTAATGCTTCTGAGCTCTCTTGGGCACGTTCGTGTTCATAGCTGGGATTCTTGTTCGGGGCTAGAATGCTTTTTGCCCCACAACCGTGACTGGTACCTGACAAAAACCCCTTGGGTCTCTAGCCCTAAGAGCAGGGGACATTTTGTAGAAAAAGAGGTGCAGGCGCTCATTAGCATAACTCATTAGCATAACTCATTTGCATATGCCATACCCCCTGACATCACTGGAAGTGTGTCAGAAGGCAACACCCACCGCTCAGGCTCCACTGGACTGTTTTGGATTGCTAGCTATTGGGGTGGGGGGAACGTGCAGATCTGCCCTCACAGAGGAGGGAGAGCTTGTACCTGAATAAAACTTGGTCTTAAAGGTGCCACTGGACTGTTTTGGACCAGGGGGACGGGGGGAGCTCTGCAACTCACCTGGCTGCTTCTTGCTCTGACTGAGGTCTGCTGGGAGCAGGGGGTGGGGCTTGTTGCATGTGCCCGCCCCCTTGGCTCTTTACTGGCAGAGCTTCGCTCCTGTGCGCTCCTGCAGGAAATGACCCCTGGCGGGGTATAAATCCAATCTCCTCCTCTCTCTGTCTCCTCCTTTATCCTTCAGGTTTTTATATAACAGAATGGGATACTGGAGCGACTGGTCCGTTCCGATACTGGTTACGACAGCTGCCGGTTTCACGTATATCACGGCCTTGTTGGTAAGTTGAGGAGGAAAAGAAAAGGTTCTCTCCCCCCCCCCCCCCCCCCCCTGCTGAAATGCTGCCTGTTGGCCATGTGGGAATCGGGAAAGGGAGTGCTGTCGATTCTGCTGACGCAGGACAGTCTCTCTTGTACGGCTGTCGAGAGGTTTTGAAGCTGGTAACTAGTTTTGAACAAGGGCCGTATTCTGATTTCAGCTATAAAGACTCTGCCCATTTGCTCTAATGCAGTGATGGCAAACCTTTTAGAGACCGAGTGCCCAAACTGTGACCCAAAACCCACTTATTTATCGCAAAGTGCCAACACGGCAATTTAACCTAAATACTGAGGTTTTACTTTAGAAAAAACAACTCATACATTAACTTAAGATGATCCAAACAAAGTAAGGAAAGCAATCCCAAATGCTTTCATTGACTTAAAATTATTTGGCAGGGAATTCAACACTTTAATGATGGTCTGGGCCTGGCTGGGGCGATGGCACGCGTGCCCACAGAGAGGGCTCTGAGTGCCACCCGTATTCTGATTTCAGCTATAAAGACTCTGCCCATTTGCTCTAAGGTGACTTAAGACCAGAGCAAAGGCCTCTGTCACCCAGAATGGAGGCTTTGGCAAATCTCCCTCCTTTGGTGTGTGGCACTTTAATTCCCCCCCCCCATCTGAATAGCAACAAAAGCTCTGCCTGTTTCTTCTTCCTAGACCTGTTTGTCAGAAGATTTGTGCAGAATTTATGTTGCTGTTTACATTAGGGCTTCAAGAGCCCTTTGGCCACGTCTCCAGAGCTCGTAGGCCATATCTCTGTCCACAGGTGTCCAGGCATCCAACATGTGTAATAAAAGGGAGTGGGTATCTTTTGGTGAAGGTGGTTAAGTGCACCAGTTTGATGTAGTGGTTAAGTGCGTGGACTCTAATCTGGGAGAACCGGGTTTGATTCCCCACTCCTCCACATGCAGCTGCTGGATGACCTTGGGCAAGCCATAGTTCTGTCTGAGCTGTTCTCTCAAAGACAGTTCTGGAAAGAGCTCTCTCAGCCCCACCTACCTCACAGGGAGGGGAAGGGAAAGGAGTTTATAAGCCGCTCTGAGACTCTGAGTGAAGGGCAGGATATAAATCCAGTCTCCTCCTCCTCCTCCTTCTCCTAGAGTCAGAGTGATACTGCTCTGAGCCCATGCTGGAAGGGCGGGATACAAATTTAATAAATAAATAAATACTGGGGGTCAGAGAAGTCGCTTCTGGAGCTTGATTGGATTTCCAGTTGCCTTTTACTAATTTATGGAAACTGGATCTGCCCCCTTTCACCCCAGAGTAAAAGGAAACTGCAAAGGGAAATCAAAGAGAAAAGAGAGAGAATAAGAGGGCTTCAGTGGCTATTGCCTAGCGGATTTTGGAGAAAGGGATTCCCACTCCCCATAACTTTTCAGGTTCTCGCTGGTGTAGCAATGCTTTCTGTCTTGGGTGTGCCTCTTGGCTTCTCAGTCAGCTACCTTAGGTGTCCCTTTCCTGACAACCCCCCCTCCCCCTCAGAAAGCCTTCACGGAGGACAGCTCGCATTGAGGATTTTTTTGTATGACCTTTTTGCAAAACTGAGCGGTCCAGGAATATCAGAGACATCGCTCGCTGGCAGAAGCTCTTGCTTTGTGAAGGATGGGCCTATCAGTGGCCATTAGGCGACTCAGTGGAGATGAGCTTCCATATGCAGAGGCAGTATACCCCTGAATAGCTGACATTTGAAAACAACAGGGGAAGGGGATTGGTCCTGTGTGCTGCCAGTGAGCTTCCCAGAGGCCCAGGGACTTAAGAAGAACCCTGCTGCATCAGACCAGTTGTCCATCCAGTCCAACACCCTGGGGAATTTCACATTACCTAGTTTCTCCCGGTTTCAAGCCGGGAGTCTTCCGTTTTCAGTTGAACCGGAACAGGGCTGCCGTTTCACACAC